ATAGTGGTATCAAATTTCAGTGCTAAGCAGTCGAAATGAAAGGAGACGCCGCGCAAGATCAAAACTACCGAAACAAGAAAAACTCAAAATGAAATGAACCCCATGCAGAAAGTTTACTTGCAACGTGAAGGCAAGTAAAATCCAACTGTCCTGACCTCACTGCTACGTCGGTGTTTTTGGTAGCGCATTCTTCCTCGACAAGTCTGAAAACCAACATGTTTCGATTCCTTGCATCTCCGCTTCCATCTGACAACATGTTCCGCTCGCTGAGATCAGGAGAGTCTCCCAGAAACGCCTCCAACATCTCTTAAGTCCATGTAATCGAGAGAACAAGCTATCAACATCACAGCTCCTCCTGGTTCCAGTGGAGGCTGCTGTCAGTGAGCTCTGCGGCTTATCCACCAGGACATTGTTACTGGAAAGACATGCAACTGCTGAATTATTTAAATGTCATGTCTTCCCGTGCTGACAGCATTACAAAGGAAACTCCATTTGTATTCATTTTGCTTTCGTGGAGAAATACAGTGGGAAACCTGAAGCGAAGAGCTAAAACTGCAGCGCGTCTTGCAGAGCTTCGTGGAGTCAACGGTGCCTCGCAAAAGTGTCCACACCCCTTCAACTTTTCCACATTTTTATCATGCAATGACCGAAAATGATCAATGTGTTTTCCTGAGGTTTTGTGTAATGGACCAAAGCAAAGGAGTGCAAACGTTGTGATGCATTGTGTTCAACTATTTTTACAAGCAAAAATCTGAAATGCGAGACGTACATTTGTATTCGGCTTCCTTCCTTCGCTCCGAATCCAAGCGTGTTCAGTCCATCATCTGAAAGTGAAGAGTGCGTTACAACAGCAAATCTATCAAAACATGGCCGTCCGCCTGAACCGGCAGGCGATGCCGAACAGATCATTAATCAGAAAAGCAGCTAAAAAAAACCCGCGCTGGCAAAATCTAGAGGAATAAAGGGATTGTGAACACTTTTGGAGGTTATAATCCTGATCGAACATGCGTTAGTTGAAGGAAGTGAGTTTCTCCTTTGTATTCTCAGACTCTTTGAGTCCCGCTCAAACTTTATGCTGTGAAACATCAGATAAACAGGTTCTGGAAAGATACAATCAAAACAAACTGCCTGCCGATACAGTTCTCCCCCGAACCTCCCTGTAAATTCACACGCCAGCATTAACTTAGCCTCTAAACCTCTTTCAGTTCACTGATAAGTCCCTCAGCTTGTGTTTCTCTGCAACAACATGCAGGGCGATACATCTGAATGTGGGCCATCACAGTCTCTTTACGCCAGACTTAAACACATTTAACTGTGTGTTGTTTCAAAGCAAGGAAATCATTCCTTATATCTCTCACTCAGAAAGTCCATGGGAATGTGTGAAAACACTGGAAAGAAAATCAGTCTTTTAGTATTCACGTTTTAAATGTTCATGACCACAACTGATTGTGGCATAGAGGATTTGAGGAAGACGAACTGTGCTGGTTTAGGTAGGCGGGCTGCTCATATTTGAACATGGCTCCAGAAAACCCTGACAGGATGCATCATATATGAGCCGGTCCTGTTAGTGAGACGCCATGGCTCTAATCGGTGCCCCATCTGGTGGGTAAGAGAGGAACAACTACAATGTGAGGAGGGAAAATAGCCCAAAGCTGGCTTTTTTGGCTGCATCTATTAATAACTTAGATGCAGGATTGTTGAACATAGAAATGCTCTCCACTATGCTGAGACACTCTGCAGGTACCGTTCTGTTTTTTGGGGGGTCGCCATTTGACATTCTGGGTCGGGGGAGGAGAAGATTTGGTTTTACTATCAGATCTGTTGAGTGTTTGTATCATTTCCGATTTCTACAATGGGTTAGATCATTGGTTGGTGCAAATGTAGACCAAGCAACATAAGAGAAACATTTTTTTTTTTTTAACGTAGATGGTTCATTGAGCAAAGAGTAAAACCAAACAAAAAGAGAAATCTTTTAGATTTTCACATTTTCTGACTGTATGGTGATGAATAGAAATACCTAGATGGATTTTCTCCCAAAATATTTGTGCATATGTTCTGGTGAGCAAATGAAAGACTGTAATAATAAATCCTACAAAGACTTGAATGACACTAAACTCTCAACTCTTCCTCCACCTGGAACCATGAGTTTCAGATTAAATGCAAAGTTAACGTTGGGCTGAATAAAGGAGGCCTCCAGACCACAGAGTAACATTCTGGGTTATTTTCACTTCTGACACTTTCTGAGGATCTGCAGTGATTCCACACAGAAAACGCTGCAGTTGTAGTCCTGTTCGTCTGTGTGTGGCTCTGGCTTCAGCTGCTGTCCACACCTTTTGTGAATCATCCCCAGACTGTTCAACCGATTCACTTCGCAATCCTTTCACTGGTACACTTATTGCTCTTGCTCATTTTTTTTTCTGCCACACTTTTTCCTTTCACCCAATCTTCCATTGATCAGTTTGCGTACAGCCTTCCATGAACAAGCAGCTTCTTCAGCAGTGATGACTTTTTGAAGCTCAGCCTCTTCCTGGAGGAGGGTGTGAGAGACGAGTCAGGTCTTTGATTATGTAGGCCGTCACATAATGTTGTTTTTTTTCTTCTTTTTTGCTGGCCTGATGTAAATTTTAAATTTCCAAGAATCTAGAATTTTTCATAAGTCAAATTCATTAAAGGAAAATTAGTAGAAAATAAACACTTGAAATATACAAGCATGTGATTAATCTAGTAAAGAGTTCACTCAAGTCAACATGAAAGGCTTGTGACGTAAACAAACTACAGCAGCAGCGTACAGGACTTATTTAATCTCTAAACAAATTAAACTAGTAATATATCATCCAGATGCAAAGACAGTGGTACAAAAAAAAAAAAAAGATAAAAAAAAAACAGAAAATCTGTGTTTCATTTCTTTTTTTCTTATCTGTTTTTTGCTAAATATATTTTTGCAATTCAATTTTAGAAAACTTTTTTTTTTTTTAATGGTGTCTAACTTTGTTATATTAAAATATAGCAATTACACAAAGAGCTGTTGTCAATTAGACCAAGAGCTCTGGTTACTCTCTGATATCGATACTTTTATTTATTATCTTTTTTTCCTAAATCGTTCCAAATGTCATAAAAACATTTTTTTTTTGTGTTTCCGAACAAACCATCTCGCCTCAACCATAAACAAAGTTCATGGGCGGTGAATCATTTCCTCCATGATTGGCTGCATCGGCTTCGCCTTCACCTTTCATGTGACCACTTCCTGTTCCCCCCAGCGGAGGCCTAATCAATCAATCAGGCTCGTTAAGGCGGACCCTCGTTTCCTCTTCAGCTGAACTCCGTGGACTTGACCTGCAGCGCGTGACGATATGGACAAGGACGGCGACTTCACTGAAGGTTTCGGTAAGGACAATCAGCCCGGCGTTTAATTGTTTTATTGTTTAATTGGCTCGTTTGTGGCGTTTTTTTTTTTTGGGGCTCGTCGTCGTCACTTTCCACGGCTGGTTTTTGAACTTATTTAAACCCACAGCGTCTCCTGTGATGGTGTTGCTCCCAGAGACACTTTAAAAGCCGCGTTATTAACATTCCCGACCCGATGTTTGGACACGGGGACAGGGTCGGAGGTTTTAGCAGCGGGAGCTAGCAGCGTGGAGTTAATTAACCGACAGGTGAGGCGGCGCGAGGCGCGCCACACCTGGGACACTAATTGGGTCACTGCAGCCTGCGGTTTCTCCTGAGGAACATCAGTCATGTGTAACGCTGCCCGCAGAACGACACGTGACCAGTCAGGCTGGATTTCATTTGAACTGTATAATATTTTCATGTAACACATGAAGGTGGGCTGAATATTAATGCTTTTGGCCTTTCCTACACCTGTAGTGGCTCTCAAAAGTGTGCACACCTCTCTTAAGACACCATAACAAGTTATTGTCCACTTTTAACGTGTTCAACAAACATCAGTTGTAGTCATAAATAATGTGATCCTGTGACCCTTTGTAGCCTGTAAATTTAGCAAATTAATAAATGTCAGGAAAGTCTTGAAAGTGTGTTTTTTTTTTTTGGAGTCATAAGGATTAATGGAGGGACTCTTAAGACTGAAAGCTGAAATTAAATCAGAAAGTGTTAAGAGTACTTGGGTGGACTCACTTATTTAACCTGCTTTGTTTTTAGACATTAAAGAAATCTATATTTTTCTTTCTGATAGATTTGTTTTTAACTTAGGTTGTACAGCATTTATGCCACATTAGCTCTGTAAAAGTGTTACAAAACTGGAAAATCCAGGATTTTAAAAGAGGCCCTACCTTCGACAACCATCTTTCCTATTGTTAAGTGAACACAATGCGATTTAAAAAAAAATGTTGCGTAAATTATCTTGAGGCATGAAACATGTTGGATATCCTTAGTTTTTGTATATAAACAAACCTTATTTCTCTTTTTACATCAATAGTGATCATCCATATCTATATATTTTTAATTTTTTTTATCAGGTGAAGGACTAATTGTGAGTTAAGCTGTAGATATGTCTATGTAGTTAAAAACTGTTGGCAAACCATTCGATCCAGTGTATAGAAGACACATTTTTACCAAAGTGAACAAAATTTCTCAACCCCAAATTATGTACAAATATATTTAATGAATCCTCACGCCAAAAACCTGAACAATAATCTTGCTTAATGTAGCTCAACTGCTTAAATGTAGGATGGATTAAACTTTGATTAGATCAGAAACATTTTTTAGGTTCTGCTTTTATCTAGAAGAGGCGCTAGATCTTCCATTGCAATGACCTCTCTGAAGAAGATAAGTGAACTAATCATCTTTATTTAGACATTTTAGCGGCTCTGTACTTCAGACAAAAAAGAAAGAGGTTGAATGATCTTACTTTACCCTGTTTCAGACGGTTCAAGCCTGCTGTGTGAGGACCTGGAAGATCTGGAAACAAAGGACACTAAGGAGAAGACGAGCAGAGGAAGGGAAGAAGAAGATGAGAATGCGTTAAATCAGAGAGATAATGAAGAGACGAGAGGGGAGACGGTGCATGGCAAGAGGAACGAGGGGGAGGAAAAAGGAGAAAATGAAGTTGTTGTGTCAGAGAAGGAACTGATGGAGACGGAGGAAGCGGAGCAGGTGAAGTCTGAGAGGAGCCTGCAAGCGGAGGATGAGGCGGCAGCACAGAATGTTCAGATGCAAGATAAAGAGACCGAGATTAGCAGCGAAACAATTGTTGATAAGCGAGCGAGTAAAAATAAAAAAGTCGCAGAAAAGAAAATTGCACAGAAAAAGAGCAGGAAGAGGCGAGGCAAGAAGCAAAACGAGCAAGCGAAAACGAGAAAAGGTGGAAAGGAGGATGTCGGTGTGATGTTGGAGGAGGAAAAGAAAAGCGAGACGCAGGAAGTCTCGGTGACGGCCTCAGAGGAGAGCTCAATTCAGTTTGATCCCTCTGTAGGCCTGATTAGTAGCTGTGAGCTGTCTGATCCCGTTTATCTGGGTATGGAGGCGACTGGGCTGTACTGCCCCCCGGCCCCTGTTCCAGTGCTGTACCCGGCCCAGCCACCAGTCCCCATCCAGTCTGCAGCGCCGCCATCACACGGTGGGACAAAACGACCCCACAGCCCCTCTCAGCCTCACTGTCTCCCCCAGAAGAGCTCCCAGCCGCTCCAGGTGAAGTATTGCTGCTGTCACCTCTCCTCCATCTTTTAAAACAAACCTTTTACAGATTTCTTTTATTGGGGCCTGCCATAGAAGAGCATAGGAGAGCCCTGAAATGCCTTCCAAAGCAAGGCATTTCAGTGCCTACATGCAATGCATGGAATGCCCCCATTACTCTACACCTCAAGATAACTGCCCCTTCTTTTCACTGTTAATGCGGCTCGTACTGCTGCGTGCACCCCCACAATATATACATCAAAAGATGCGGCTGCATCTCATGTGTGCGAGCCATTACTTCTATTGGCATTTCAAATAACCATGGTGACGTAAGTAGCAACAAAAACAAACAAAAACAAACCAAATTCAAATCAAAACAAATTCTAACTTGCACTGTTTTGTGTCAGTGACTCACACATGAGCATGTTTTCTGCTAACCAGGAGCCACAAAGTAAACATCTGATTTTTATTTTAGCAAAATTTACCAACTGTAAATTTCTTGTCTAAGCTGATAAGAGATTATGTTTCATAAACAATAATATTACTTGTTTTTAATTTGCTGTTAAGAGATTAGCAGTTTTTTTTCTGGTAGTGAACTGCCGTGAAGTATAAATAAAATGTTTACTTTTGCGTTGAATGTTGGTTTCATAATATATTTATCACCAATGACAAAAGTTTTTTCCCTTTTCTGAAAAATTTACCAACTGCACAATTCTTGTGAAGTAGTAACAACAATTGTTACCACTTAAGATAAATAGTATTTCAAAAGAGCAAAAGAAATCATGTTTTTTTTTCAACAATAATAATATTTGTTGTTAATATGTAGTTAAGCGATGTGAGTGTTTTCTGGTAACCAACTGCTGCAAAGATCATCTCAGTTTTAATTTAGCAAAATTTACCATGTGTAAATTTCTTGTGTCTAAGTAGATAAGCAGATGTCAAAAGAGCTTATGTTTTATGAATGATAATATTACTTACTATTAATTTGGTGTTAAGAGATGAGTGTTTTTTTCTTTTAACGAACTTACACAAAGTATAAATCAGGTTTTTACTTTTGCGTTTTGCATTTAGATTAACATTAGCATTTTGGCTAATTTTAGCTTATAGACTCATTTTAACATACTGAATGGAGAAAGTCCATGATGCTCAACATGCTTGTGACTCTCCACATGCTATTGAGAACATTGTAGCTTACTTTAGCATTGATGCTCATTTTTAGCATCAGATCGCTGGGTTCCAACCGATGGACACTTTGGCAGGCCCCGGTTAAATTTCTTCAGTCATTTTTTAGTTTATATTTAAGTTCTTCTGGTTTGACAGACCAAGTTCTGCTGAGTCTGATTTTAAATGTATTTTTTTTTATTTACCACACTCAGTTTTAATAATACTTCTGCATATTTTGGGGAAACTAACAGGTGTTTAATAACTCATTTGCCAGATATAATTACAGCCTAATGTGCATGAAATGATGCACACCTACAAATGTCTGTGTTATTAATGAAGCACCAGTGAAAATGCCATTTGGATATTAAAGCTTAATTTGAGGTGTGAAGTTATCATTTGGTAATGGAGCCTCTCTAAAGCTTACAGCGAGCTTGAGCAAACTCAGACTGTGTTCCCATTATATTCCAGTCAAAAGCAGCACCTTCACCATGAAATCTGTTTTCTTTTTGTTGTTCATACTTTGAGTTGCAAGAGTTAAGTTGCAAGAGTTAAAGTTCTTTTATTTCAGGATTCAACAGCTCTTTCCTAAGTTGAAGAGCAACACAAAGTACTGAAACTTAAAATTTTATCCCTCTGGCAATGATTATAAAATATAGCAAAAATTTCAGTTTTTTTCATCTTTAAATATAACACTGTCTTATAAACATGTCCCAGAAAAAATACACATTCGCTAGTCTATTTTATAAGTAGAAATAAAAAGAAGAAATAAAAACCTGTACCGCTAAGCAATTTATTCAATTCAGTATCCTAATATAGCGCCATTTCACAAACGTCAAATCAAAGTACTTTACAAAAGAATAATTTTAATTTTTGATTCTTGTTATCAAACCGTGCATACAGATAAATTTGCTCTTATTTTGTTTCAATAGGAATTTTAACTGTGACTTTTGACAATAAAGTATCATATTTTTAGACATAAAAGAGATAATGATTCAAAAAACACACTGAACATGTTTTTGTATGTGGCGTTTCTGCATTTCATTTATGTTAAAATACCTACGATGAGGATATTTTTAAGTGGCTGCAGACGAAGAACCGTCGATGTTGGCTAATTAAGCTAGTTTATTTTTGACTGGACTCTGGACATCAGCCAGGCAAAGAGGGATTAAATGATTGTTGTTGTATCCATCAATCCTCCCTCTTTGTCTATTTCAAGTTGACTTTAATGTGCTTTTCTGGAAAGAAAGACATAGCTGTGCACAATGAAGATCTGCTTAAGTGTGAGTGGCCGTCTGTCACAAAGCCTAATGTGTAAAGAGCTGGTCTAATGAAGGAGATTTTCAGTGCCTAACGAAATGCTGAAACTTGTCACAACTCGCCCATTTCCAATCACTAGCCAAACTACCAGTGCATCTCTAATTGATTATACCAGTATTTTAAATGTCAAATGTCCAAAACTTGTTTTGATCTGTTCATTTAGTGATTATTTCAGTCAAATTATGCCTTTTAAATGTTTGTCATCCTGGGTGAGCATGATGTTTATACAGATTAGGGAGAATGGTGGGGCTCAGTCAGGTAATTTATAACTTTATTTACTAATATCCTCCCATTTTGGATACGTTTTGTAGAAAAACAAATATATTTTCACACTTTAATAAATGTCTTGCAGTGGCAATTTTATACATAAATGATAAAGATAAATGCCTTATTAAGAAATGCGTTCTAGATGATATAATCAACTTAAAAACAAGTCTTACGTAATTGCAGGTCTCTTTTTTCTTTTAATGGACGAAGCAATTAACACAAAACTGAGGAAATCATTATCTGCTTCCTGCAGCCCCTGTGTAGACATATAAGTTGTGCATAAGAAACATAATCAGCTAACACTGGGAATTAATAGCTTGGTCCTTAAAGTCCAAAGCCAGCTTCTATTGTTAGGAAATCACAGCAGCATCACTTTAAGATGGTTGTAATGTTCAAAAGACAGGATATCATGTTGATATCAGTAGGTTGCCTCTATAGGCTAGATGAGCCTTAAATGTGATTTAAGCATTTTCCAAGTATGACAAACGCTTTTATATTCCTGTACATTTATCCCTGCTCCCTTGTGTGTGCGTGTTTTTTGTTTTTGTTTTTGGCTCTATATTTCAAGGATTTCCACTGTAGATTTATCTGCCACAAATTCATAGTTAGACTTTAAAATTGTCTTCTGAAAAAAAAAAAAAGATTAATTTTGTTTTCTTAAAAAGAAGCCATACAGGTAAATAAATGGTAATAACCAATGATTTGACAGGAGATCGTGCTTGAGTTGATGCTGATTTGGATCGTTGCAGATAGAGATAAGTCAAGTGTGCTCCACCCGACGCTCCATCCGATGCAGCAACAGAGGCCGAGGCCGGGCGCTCAGCTGTCCTGTGCCGCCAGGGTCCGAATTGTTGGACTGCATCCCACTACCACCTGCCCCACGGAAGAAGACACGGACGCTCTACAGTACAGGTAGAGGGTGTCTGCTTCATACACACACCATTATTTAGCTTCATTACAAAGACAATCATCTCAACAATGTGACACATGTGCAAGAAAATATCTGAATAACAAGGTATGTTTAAAATGATAGAAAACAAAGAAGGTGCAATCACCTGGAAAGACAAGAGATCCCACCGTTAAAACAAAGCTGTTGTCGCAGCTTTTGATTCAGCTTTAGGAGTCGCCGTTCTTTGGCAGAAGTCTATCAGCAGACCACATCAAGCCAATACTTGCTGGTCTTTTACAAGCACGTAAAAGTTCCCAAAATGATCAGATTGACACGAAACACTGACGTTTAACAGAGCATGCATGTTGTGGCACGACGACATCCCACGTTTTGAACATCTCAGAGCTCTGACCATCTGGAATGGAAAAAATATGAGGCAAAATGCAAACCTATCAAGATGTGGCCATCTACTTATAGTGACACGGGTAGCGTCAGCCAAGAGGCTGGCTCTTACTCTGAATATTTAATTCCTAGAGTGCAAAATGGTGGGAACAGCATCATGCCGCGGGTGACAGGAAGCTGTTACTGTTTACACAAAATGAGTAAAACTAAATAGAAAAGGCAGCAGTGAAACAAAAGTGGTTGGATATTGCAAAGACATTAGGTGTCCCTTTCTCATGCATCAAGAACTACCATTCAGTAGTTTAGATTAGCCTATGTATCTGTCTAAAGTCAAACTTGGCACATGGCATGACTTGAAAAATTGACGTTTACAAACACGCTTTATGTAATTGGACTGAGTTTGAGCTTTTTTTGCAAAGCTAGTGGAGATGCACTCCAAAACGCTTAAAACTGTAATTTTGCAAAATAAAGGAAGAATAAGAATCTTATCAATGGGTTTTTTTTCCCTGAGAAATTTTTAAAATCATGTATAATAGTTGTAGTGTTTCACAATTAGACACATCTTTGTCACATGAAATCCTTCTTAGATGAAATGTGTGATTGTAATTCAAAAATGCTACAGTGTTCAAAGTGTTTTTTCAAGTAGTTGATGTGTGTATTTGGGTGTTTCAGACCAGCTGGAGCATTTAGAGGCGTTGTTCCAGGAGGATCATTATCCTGACGCAGAGAAGAGGAAGATTATTGCTGCGTCAGTCGGTGTCACCCCTCAGAGGATTATGGTCAGATCATCCTTCTGCTCTTATGATCTCCACAACTAATTAATTATTTGGTCATTTCCTTTCTACAACAAAGAATTTCATTATTGAATTTAATTTTGCTAGTTATTTTTCATCCGTTTAAAATCAGTTTCTTTGTTCACTCACTGTAGTTTTTAAACTGAAATTGATTTAATCCTGTTCTTCTCCGTGTTGCTGTTTATCAGGTTTGGTTTCAGAACCGCAGGGCGAAGTGGAGGAAAGTGCGTTCCATTACAGCTAAGGCTGAAAGTGCACTGAGCAGAGTTGAACACAGTATGAATAGTCCAAATCATAAAATCAATCCTCATTTAGCTATGCTGACGTCCAGCAGGTACTTCAGGAAGAACCTAATATTCACTGATTGCATTTTAGGTAACATTTCAAATTTACCATTTGTAGTTCATCTTTTTTTTTAACTGTTTAGGAAAGGACTGCCTCCTTTTCCTGGTCATATCGCAGCTTCAGTACCTCAGATTGCCTCTGCAACTGCTTTTCCCACACTGTCCACTCAGACGCCATCCTCCTTCAGCAGCCTGTTGGAGAGTTTTAACAGCCCAGGTACGTAAACAGCTATTAATAGAACTGATATGTCCCAGTGCCTTTAGTTACAATGCATTTGTGTTGTATTCACGCTATCCTTCTTTCTTTACTCTTCTTTCAGGTCTTCTCTTCCATCTTTCTTGCATTTTCCCCCCTTTCTTTTCTGTCTCCATGCCCTTTACATTTGAAATAAACCCAAAGCAAATTCTACTAAAGTTTTATATACATAACGAGTGGGGTGTCATAGTGACAGCAATAATCCTACACTTGTGAGTGTAAACTTGTTGGCCCCAACTTGATACTCAGACAAGTCTGAGTGCCACAATGTTAAACAGGATCTTTTAGAAAGAAGGAAAGCATTTTTTTTTTCTGATTCGATACAAGCTGCAGTTTTTGAAAGTTAATTAGCTGTGAAGTAATTAGTTTGTGATCAGTTGCAAACCCAGCTCTGACTGATTGTGTTATTAAATAAAATTCGTTCATGCTTTTCATAAGGATAACTATCCAAACACCAGTTTAACAGTTGGGTGCATCCACATCAGTCCTGTTTAATTGAACTCTAATTTCTTTTCTTAGAAAGTCCGGTTTGTTTTGGGAGGTGTGAATGTGTAATCGAATTCTGATGTGGACCCAAAAAGCAAAGTCTGATCTGCCTAAAAACCTAGGTCTTGGTTCAGTTGAAATTAAGTCTTGTGTGATTTGAATTCACATGTGAACGCCAAGTGAACTGGAAACCTCTCCAAAAGCAGGAAGCTGACTAAAGCAAATGGCTTTCTGGTTAAATGCAACCAAAACGAACATGCGAGTTGAACGCTGGACGGCGAAATAGCTTGTGGTCTTTAGCCAAAGACAAAAGGAAAATCCTGCAAACGCTAAAATCTGATGCCATTCAAATTTTGTTTGCATTTCACGAAGCAGGATGTTGCGTTCAATGTCTTCTTCAGAAGTTTTTAGATCATTTCCTTCAGTTGATCGAAGCTGAAGGAAAAGGTTTGGGTCGTTTGACGCAGAGTGAAAACAAATCGCCCCAGCTGAAAATGGAACAAATGTTGTACTTTGGTCCCCAATTGGCCAGAGTCCACTGGACTACATGATGCCTCAGCTTCATCTGTTTATTTCTGGTCTGGTCTTTTGAGAGAACATACATCTACTTCTACGACATCATCTGCAGCCCACTCTCTTGGGGATGAATGAAGGAATACATTTTCAGCTCTTTCACAAGGTGCTTTGTCTTAGCTCGACAGAATTTAACTGTGGCTCTGTTTTGACCTTATTGTTTGTATTTCTAAGTGTCAGCAGAAGGTAGTGGTCAGACAAGTGATGCTTTGAATTGCTTCCTTCAACTACTGCTATGTTTTAACAAACAGTTTATTCTTTAGTATATTGTGATAAGTTGTTCTTGATGTATGGGATTTTTTTTACACATTTGTTTTGTCTTGAAGGTCAGAGTAGAGGGAGAGAAATGAGCTCGGGGAATTTGCCAGAGTATCATCCCCCCCGTCCCATGCACAGCCCTCCCCCCCTGCGACGAGCCAGCCTCCCTCTTTTTCCTCCCGTGTTTAACTCCGTCACACCGACTCCGTCTCTCCTCAACACCCCAGCCCAAACCCCACCTCTGTTTCTCGATGCTCTTGAGAGCGGCGCCTCCTTGGCTCATTTCGATACCCAGAATGACACCAGGTAAGTTTAAAACTCAGTAAACTGCGTTGTGAGTACTAGAGAATAGTTCAAACATGAAGAAGTGCAACAACTGACAGGGAGACTGAGCGTAGGCAGAGAGGGATCCTGTGAAATGATGACGGCTCACACAGAGACGGTTGTACGAGAGAGTGGGTGACAGCTGGTGGTCTGAAATATTTCAGACGTCACACTGCGAGACTGTTGTAGTTAATGAATTGATTTGAATAAAGTCAGCTTTGTTTTACAGCGTCTTGAGTTTCCACCAATGAAATGGGAGACTCAAAATGCAACACAGAGCAAGACCTACTTTGAAAAATATGTAAGCAATCAGTTGACCCAAATTACATTTATATATGTTGGAACTAGAAAAAGATAGGATTTTGAAAGGCTGTATTGGGTTTTATTTTCACTTTAAGTTAACATATAAAGAATATGTTGTTGCTGCTTTGGGGTATTGAGGGAAAAAAAATATTGGAACAAATCTGAGAACCTCCAACCTTTACCACAAACATTACCTGTGAACACTGTAGCTGCTGAGCTGACAGTTTCTTGGACTGATGGTACTGGAAGCTTAAACCTAGTAGTGCTTTGTCAGCAGCATCCAGTTAAACCTCTGGTGGAGCTCAGTGGATATATACCCATATTTGTTAATGTGTCTTTTGTGATCCTGCAGCTCACTCTTTGACTTTGCGGAGAAGCTGAGCCAGCAGAGCAGCTCCTTGTCTTACCAGCTTCAAAACTCCTTTCCCACCAGCCAGCATCAGCCTCAAACATCTGTACCTCACATGACCTACCTTACTCCATCGCCCTACCTCACCCCCAACCCTCCAGATTCCAACCCTACCTCCTACCTTACGTTTGGACCTGGAGGAAGCTCGGCTGGACTGGTCACATACTCAGCAGGTGGTCACACCTACTTTCCGTCCCAGAGGACCGGACAGATCCTGCTGCAGCAAATCGGCCACCATGGTGAGATGCTGGGTTGAGACCAAAGCTGTTTGGAAACTCATTAAATGTGTAGCAGAGAATAAGCATGCAGTTAGTTGTCTACAGCCTCTGAATCCTTGCTGAATTTAAAGCAGCATTACAGAAATCTCACTCAATTAAATGCAGTAATTGCTCAGAGCTGCAGATTGTGTTTGCTGTTCATCGCTGCAAACAATCTTTTCAAATTCTTGCTGCTGAGAAGGGCTGGTGCCCGCATGACGGATAATCTGCACATCTGTGAAAGCACTGAGATACGGGCTGTAAAGCAACATATGGTCCTACACCTGTAACTAATATAAATGAGCTGAGATGGGTCAAAAATGTGCCTGACAAAGCTTTGATTATGTGAGCAGCTGAATAACAATAATAATGTCAGTATATTTTGTAAGTTTGTCTTCATTTTCCTCATTCTTGCAGAATTCAAATATTTCAGCTAGAAAATCAAAAAAATCTGAGAAAGAGAAACCACATACTCGCATACATAATCAGTGTTTTGTCAAAATCACAAGATCTGCATTCAGATGTTTCTGTCTGCAAGTTATTCAATCAAAATTTAATCATGTTCAAAGACTATATATTTATTATATATTCCAAGAATTATGCTCAGTGAATTCAAAGCCCTTTTTCTGACTGTTCATATAATTGGCATTAATAACAATAGCACATTCAGATATTGTATACATTATAATTTTCATACATTTGTTGTACATATTGGTGAACTGATGCAGAAATGGTTTATAAATGAATGGCACTTGATTTTTAAAGAATCTGTAATTATGTAACATAATTAAATTCAGGTTGATTACTTTATGTATTTTTCTCATTGGAAACCGGTTCTAATGCCAAAGAACATAGGAAATGATCCTGTTCTGTGTTTTAAGAAATGTAAGCTATTTCTGAAAAGTTGTTTCTCCTCATTGACTAAATTCAAATTTGCTGCTCCCTGACTGCATGGCGCTCTGAGCATGGAGCCGGAATGAACTGCTTAATTTATAATCGGACACATTTTGTGTTGGTCTTTGGGATCTGTGTGTACATCACCACGGAGGATAAAATGTATGACAAGACTGGCAGATGAGAATGAAGAAGCTGGCTGACAGCTGCAGTGCAGTAAGACGTTTGTGAGAACCAGCAGCAGCTGTTGGGCTTAATGAGAGATTCGGGACGAGAAAGAGAAAAAGATATGATGGGAACTGAATAAGGAATAGCATCCAGATGAAATCGGTTCATCTGAGCTGCTTTTCAGGGCTCGACTCTTTATCTTTTGGAGTTTCCATAGTGGTGAAATGATGGCCGCTCCTTACTGGACATAGTTTCAATCAATCAAAAGTTTGGACACTTTCTCAATCACTTGTAATGGGAGGTTGTCCAAACCTTTTCAGCCAACATAGGAAACAATTATTGCTATTCTGTTTATAATTTTTTTTTTTACTTTATTGAAATAATTGTGCTACTTCTAAGCCTCATTTCTCATTTTTAGTGTACATTGAGAGTCTCCTCCAGGTTCATAACCCACAGGGAATGCTGATACTTCAGCGATGAACTCTTCCTCAGAAAGCGCTTACACTGCAACTGTTTCCCATAATATAGCATGTTGTGGGTGTCATGACAGCAGCACTGGATGGTGAAATGTTCCATAAAAAAAAGTTCAGTCGAAATTCCTGCTCTTGGTGTTTTTTTTTCTCAATTAAAAGCTTATTTGCTGTAGTTTTCGTTTTTAATTGTTTTCTTTTTCCTTTGCCAGGTGGGGTGGCATCGTACCAGTCGTATCCATGGAGTAACTTGTACAGTCAGCCGGGCATCCATCAGCGCACCCAGTGTCCCTCCGCCTTCTCAGCCAGCTTGGGATCCGGTCAAGACCACCAGACCCCCTCTACCTCCAGCCTGCCTGTCCATCCTGGCTTTCAGGTCGGGGAGCATAACCTTTCACATACAAACTTGCACCAAGCAGCAGAAACCCAGTCACACATTCCCACCAGCACCGCCGTCCTCCCACCAGTGTCCACTCTGCGACCCTCCTGTCTCAGAGCTGAGACTACTCCGACCTGTTCTTCATCGCTGCTTCCCCCTCAGGTCCGCTCCACATCTCCTCAAAGCCCTTCAGCTCCCTCTTGTGTTAAATTGGAGTATGACAGCCCTCAAGAGATTCACAGCCACTTCCACTGTGATTTCTCCCCAATACAGTTTTGAATCCATGTTTGAGTTTGCCATGTGTGTAAATAGTGTAACATTTTTGTATATTTTGTATTATTAATATAGTCTTCTCAGTGGAAATGTTTGTATCTTAATACTCTGTAGGGCTGCATAAAGCTCAGCTCCAATAAAAGCAAATGGAAAGGTTCATTTTATTTGCTTAAATTGCATTTCAAACAGATCTGCTAACAAATCGTATACATTTTTATTCAAGACACTTTTGTTTTGGACCTTAAGTGCACAACTTGGTTCTTATCCTGTAAAACTTAACAAGCATGCACATGTTTTCGAATTAATCTTGGGTATCATAAAGGCGAATTGGTACTGAGCAAGGACATGCTAAAAATAGAAAGGTGTAAACAAATACAAAAGTAAAACCTTAGTCAGTTCTGTTTTCATTTTATTCAAATTTACAATAAGATGTAGGATTGTTCGATGCCCATTTTTGAAAATTTATATAATCTACTGTGGCGTGAGGCAAAGTGGTTGCACAAGAATTAGAAACACAACCATGTCACTTTCAGTTTAAATGTTCTTAAAAAAAGAAATCAGGAAATTTGTTCCCTTCTTTTATATAATCACAATAATTTTAGCTAATGAAACACTACCATGATTCACTTGACTGGAAGTCTGGAGGTTTTGGGAAGTGGGATCAGGTTTCTCAGGAACATTGACAGAAACTGGTTTCTGGTTATGAAACACATTTTCAGTTGGTTAAACATCCATAGGGAGATTTAAGTACTAACTATGCTTTTCATAAAGTGCTGGTATTTTGGAGAAACCCCTTGTAATAACTGTTTTAATTGTTAGAATTGTTCTTATTTGAATAGTTTTTACTGCAAACAGCTGCTAGTTTGTAATTTTTTTCTGAGTGCCTACTTTGCAGTAAGAGTTGAATAATTTTAGATGCATCTGTTTTTGAAATGCTAAAACATGAACAGGTGCTAAAAATGTTGCTTTGAGTTCAGAACTGTGGAGATTCTGGTCAAGTTAAATATCCACAAGTTCTGGCTTATAAATGGCAAGTCAGTGTTTGCTGTTGCCTTAAAAAATGTTGAACATTTAACCAGCCCTTTTAGTTTCTGCCACCTGGATATTTCAGGACATTACACCCAGTCAGAAACCCTGATAAAACTTTCCAGCCCATCCAAAGTGTTTCCTTCCAACATCCAGATGCCAGACATAAATAAGTATATTTTCTCCTGAGGGCGAGAATGAAAAACAGATCTGGTGCAAGATCAGTATAATACCTAATTCTGGGTGCTAGACAAACTAATAAAATATGAGTTAGAAAACTAATTTCATCAACTTATTTAAAAAAATAATAATAAAAAAATGCTTTTAAGGTAATTATAACAAAGGAGGTCTATTAGAAGGTTTAAAAACTACATGGTTGTTTATTATGAAGATTGATCAGGTCAGGCAGGAGAGCATAGTGTGTTTAGAAATACTTGCATGTTATAAAATGTGAAAATCTGGATATTTGTTTCAGACCTCGGAGCTTCATCTTGACTACAACCTAACCCCACCAGTGGGCACTGTTTAGTCATGTGCAAAGATCCTGGACTCTCGGTTAGCAGGGTGTGTTTGAGACGTCTCCCCACTGGAGAAGAGAAGTTGGTGGATATGCGACTAATCCGATGCAGTGAAATATGGGTGGATCCGTCGTTGGAACTCAGGCATCCCAGACATTCGTAGATATACAGGCCTGATCCTTAATCTGTGTTGCCATCTGCTGTGTTTGCACACTAACTGCACTTTCTGCTCTGTTTAATCTTAGTATGCAAGGCAGTAACAGGAGCATGTGGAAACCAAATCCCTGTATGAATCTCTGCCTCTGAAACAGCTGAAAACATTTTCCCTCAGACTAGAATTAAAAAAGAAAAAAAAAAAAAAAAAAAAAACCTTTGAGGAACAGAGTGCCAGGTTTTCTCCCAACAGTGCGAGTAAAACAAAAAACTTTCTTGTTGGAACTCCACTTAATATTCTATGCCCATAGCTCTCCAATAACACAGAGCTTAGATGATAGAGGAGGAAAGAGAAAGGACTATTTGATGATGAGGTGGAGGTGGTGGTAGGGACCAAAGGGGGAGTTCGTAAAGGAGATAACAGGAGCAAAGGCAGCGAGTTGGCCTGGGAACAAGGGAGGAGAACAGGGATGAGCTGTTGCTGAGGGACGAGAGGAGGATATTGGGTAGTCTCTGCCAGCCGGCGTGGGAGGGAGACAACGGTGGAGGGGATGAAGAGAGAGAGAGTGTGCGTCGGTGGAACAGGGAGGTTTGGGGATGAACAGAACTGTTGGTTATGTAAGAAATGAACCTCTCTCTTTCTTCCTGCATGCTGGCTGCGGAGCTGTTATAGTTGGCAGGGGAAGAGCAGCATAAACACGCAAATTCGCACACGCATAAAAATTTCTCCTGTACAAACACACACTCACTCTCTCTCTCTCTGTTTCTCTCTCTCTCTCTCTCTCACACACACACACACTGCTTCTCTTCCAGAAGGAAGAGTGAGAGCTCTGTTCAGACGTTCTGCAGCGATGTTTTCACTCGGGATCGTATTTTACTTCAAGGTGAAGTTTGACACACTACACGTCTTCTTTTGGTGCGCGCCGACTCAAAACTGCTTCATATTCATGTGTCATGTGACTGAGGCCAGCTTCATGTCATTAATTTTTCCAGGACTTCCCTCGTATGAACAAAGGAAGCTCAGAAGCACAGCTGCCTTTGAGGATGTGTGTGTGTGTGTGTGGGAGCGCAGGTATGGGATGCTTCAGTCCAGCCCGCTCCCCAGCTTGTCAATATTTGCTCAGTACTCTGAGATTTGAAGAAAGGCAACTTGTTTCAATATTTATGGATGTGGTCAAAAACATGAAATCCTCCCAGTCTTTCCAAACCTTGTGACAGTGCAAACGGGCACACGGCCTGACCGAGCGGCCTTGGACTGCTCTGTTAAATCAAATATTGCTGTATATTGAAAGCGGTGAACAGGGTTTATTAATATAACAGACTGAAAGCAAGGAGGTCGGTTACAGAATAAGGAGACAAACACTGATCAATTTAAAAATGAAGGCAAACAGCACAAAATATCTCACCTCGCTGCTGATGGTAAATATTTCTGTTTTGCTGTGGACAAAACATGCGCGATGCCACACAGCGAGGCTCTGATGGAGTCGTTTGATTCACACTGGTTTCCACTCAGATGCAAATAAAGCGGCAGAGCTATTGTGAGGAATACTTTCTGAAATCAAACAGGCCAGCACGGTTTGCTTTGGCAGAGAAAAGAGGAGTTCCAGGAACATTTACTTTCTCTGGAAAAAAAAACAAAACAAAAAAACCCCCCAGCAAACACGCCAAATATGCATGCTAGATAAATAAACAGGTGAAAAAGTGAGTTCCAGTAAGGACTGGTTTTGAAATCATTTTATATTCCGTAGAAAAATACCTAAATGCATTTATCACATCAACATATCTCGCTATATTTTACATTTATATATTTTTTGTGAACCAACAAAAAGTAGTACATACATGAAGACAGAAAATGAGTTAACATTTTCTTAAAATCTGAAAAGCGTTGTGTGCATTTGTACATTATTCACTTTTAGTACAATATCTCTAAAACGGGCAAGTGCAGCAAATTTCCTTGCTGATTAGGAAAGCCTATGATGACAACCCAGGAAAACAGCCAATGGGTCAGAAAGGGCAGCTCGTCAAGTACCACTTCATGGAGCACTATTCAATATCTTTACTAAAAATGTAGCGCGTTAAAAACCTCAAAACCTGATAAAACAGCTGTCAACTCAGCAAAGGAGAAGGTTTAGTTTTTCTTTCAATGTCCCTTCAGGAGCTCCGTACAAAACGCATCGATTTTATAGAAATAAACTGGAAGCCAGTAACTGATGCTGATGGATTTATATATATATATATTTAAAACAATCATTTCTTGATTTCCCTAATGAAAAACCGGATGTGTGGACTGAAGTCATGTGAATGAAGTTGGACTCGAGTCACAAATATAACAATAGTGGAAAAAGTGACACAAGTGCTGCCAACGGTCATTATGTGTTAAAAATGTTTAGGTATTGTACCAGAAATTAAATCAGTACGTCCACAACAAATCTTTCAAAGGTCTTTGAATTAAAATATGATTTTGAAACAGGTCTGTGTTTATTTTGCTTACCATAGCCCAAGTTGGGTTTCTTTCTGATGTCCATACCAATTATATCCATTATACAGTGGAGCACAAGGATGAAAACTGTCCAACAGATGATCTTTGATTAAAAAAAGCACTTATAAACAAATTCAACATGGAATGAACTGTTAAGAATCATTTGGTGAACTGGTCATTGGATATGAAATTTCAAATACTCAAATGTCTCTAAATTGAAACTCTTTAGTGTTGATTGTTTTATAAGATACTGATGGATGGAGGTAGAACTTCTTGTTTGGGTTCAGTTCAATCTGCCAAGATGACAAAATTACATAACCACAGGTGTGTGTGTGTTTTTTCCTATCCCCTTCAATACACTAATACAAATAACTGTGTGTTATTCCGACGAAGGCATAAAAAACCCCCCTTCGCCCCAGAGATGACATGAAGTCCCAGAAAAAGATGTTGCCCATTTCATCCTGAACCCATCATCATGCTTAACACGTAGCGTTTCCAGTTAGCTGCTCTGCTGCTCATTGAGGAGAAAATCTGTTCAGGTAGTTTCTGTACTGTACAGGTCGCTCCCCTCAATTGCGGCTTGTCTGTGGTGTGTGTGTGAGGTGTGTGTGAGGTGGTGATGGTCGGGGGAAGGGGGAAGCGTTACGGAGGAATGCAGAGTAGAGAGGGTGGGGAGGAGCGGGACGTTGAAGGGAAAAGAGGGGTCTCTGTTTTAGTTTAGAAAGATTAAAGAAGTGTATAGGAGCTTCTTGATGAAAGTGTGTTTTTACAGTGTGTTTGCTCCGCTGGGGCCCTTGCCCTGCTGACACGAGACAGAAGTCAACGCAGGGCTCAAAGAAAAAGTCTCATTAGTTTCATTAGAAATATTAAATTTTTACAATTCTTTTTTTGCATGTTTTAGGGGTACAACAGATTTAACTTGGGACAAAGTTTATTGAAAATGTTTTTGACCAATGGATAAATGACAGAAGTTCACAAAATGGTGGTTATTACATACTGTACTCAGCAGTCAGGAAGTAGCTTGTACTTTTGAATTTGAACAGAAACTCACACACACGCACACCCGTCATGCAGAACACTGTAGGCTGTGTATGATGGCTCTCGTTCACTTCCGTCCCACAAACGTGTGTTTGCCATACGAGTGGACATGGGGAGAAAAGAGGAATTCATGTTGGTGTTTATTTGAGCTTTGGCCAAATCCAACCTGAAGCTGCAGAGCTGGCGCTCACGCTGTGCACCGAGCCCCAGTTGGTCCTGCACCCCCAGCGAGACGCACACATACACACACACACACACACACATCTCCTGCTGCACACACGTTCACCTGGACGTCCTAGTCATATCAAGTGTTTGTATTTCCTTGCCCACCATTTAGGTCCTTCCCTGGCAGGTATTTCCCTTCCTTTCCCGCACACACACACACACACACACACACACACACACACACACACACACACACACACACACACACACACACACACACACACACACATGCACACCCACGCACACACAGGTACCCACACTGTAGGTCTGGAGAGAGGGGGGTGCGGGGGGGTTCTGTATGTGGGCAGAGTGCATGAAGCTCTTGCATTGATAACCTGCAGCTCAGCCTCACTCGGTCTCACTTTGTGGCTGTCCCCATCACCTGGAGCGTCCTCCGGCCCGTTCTATCTCCTTTCTGCTTCTCACTGCTGGACCGTCTGTGACCGCGCTCGGACCCCCTACCTTTAGCTGTCACCATGACGCCCACCGTGCCGCTTTTCCTGCTGCTGCTCGGCCTTATCGGCGCTCAGGCCACCTTTGATCAGCGTATGGCCGCCGCTATGGGTAAGAATGACCTTTTAACCCCTAAAGCCTGACTCAAAAACCCAGATGAGTCCAAACACTGGACTCTAATGATGAAAAGATCTGAAGGAATTTGCATGTCATACTTTCTTACACTCAAAACCATAGATAATATAGTTTGAAAAAAAAAGTGTGTCAAAATATAAACCTACAGAATAATTACTTTTAAAAGAAAATAAATTCCGTTATTGCGATTGAAATGAGATTGAATAAAATAAATTATGTCAATATGCTGATTCTGTTGTGGTTGGTTTTTAAATTCAGGGTTTCTTCAGGTTTCACTAATTTTGATTTAAGAGCTTTAGAGAAGCATCGTTATTTATTTAGCCTAAGTAAATTAACCTCATATAATTACGTTCCTCAAATACTTACGCTAGTCAAATTCAACTTTGTTTACCAAAGGTGACATTTTTTCAACTCTGACATGCAATTCTAGTGCTGTTACACATAATCTGCCCAATTTCTTCACCTCGGTATGCAGCTTTGTAACAGGTACACATCGGTTTTTCACCAGCTATCAAAACTCCTAAATTAGAGCCTTGGTA